CGGTGCATCTCTAATTTACAGTTGTGGCAGAGAGTTTGGGGGAGAGGGGCAAAATGTTTACTTCTTCCTGGGGGGGATAACAGAAAATAATTGAGAAGCACTGTGCTAAAATGACATGGACTTTGTTGTTTTCAACCAGTCTGACATGACTGTCAACAAGGAAGAGGGCCAGCAATGGAGGAGGGGGCATACCAAAGAGACCATCTTATCACAAGCAAAACTGGTTTGTTCCACTTTGGAGTAAAGCCCCCAGTATACTGCCGTGTACGTCCGTTCACGCGTACGTACGCGTGTACTGTACGCAGAGGGTTCAGACTTCGTACTCGAGCGTACACCCTGAGCAGCTGCAGAGCAGCTTCACAGACAAGGGGCGTTTACCTTCAGGAAAATTGAGGTAGCTGATTTTTCATTTTTTCATTTGCTGACACGCCTGTTGGATTGATTGACAGGTCGGGGAAAAAAAAACGAGTGCTGGCAGCCTCAGCGGTGTTCTGTGTTTATATATTGTTAATAAAAAAATCTTAAAAAATAAAAATAAAAAATAAAACGGGGAGCGCTGGCTCTACAGCCCACACATCAGACCAGCCCACCAGGAAATCTCCAGATCCTCCCACAGCCATGCTGGACCTGAGCTTAATTCGCTCGTGACAAATTCCTCCATTTCTCACCATTTCAGTCATTGCATCAACAGAGGAGAAAGAGATCACTGCCTCTTGGCAAAAAAAAATCCAAAAAACAAAAGGCCAGATCAGGGATGAAGAAGAGGAATTTAATACATTGGTGTCACATACAAAACAGTCCATCGCCGGGCAGTTTATTGTGCGACACCACGTACGCGTATGCGGTCGTAAAAATTGAGCTTTGCACGGACATGCCCTGGGGGGTACGCTTGTACCTCTGCGTATGTACGTGCGTACCTCTGCGTATGGACGTACGCAGGAGTATACTGGGGGCTTTAGCTGTTGGAGGAAGAATCAGTTTTGTTGCGTGTTTCCTTGACTGATGAAGCCTTCCGGATGGAAGGCTAAACGTTTCAGCACCAAAAAAAAAAAAAAAAAAAACTGTCCAGATGACCTGACTGAAAAATGTTGGGATTGTGTACCTGGATTATTGAGCATGGACTTTGTTGTTAAAATGATGTAGGTTTAAGAGTTTAGAACCTTGCAAAAGTGTCGTGTTTCTAAAGCTTTACTATAAATAATAATAATATAATAATCCAAGATGGCCGCGCTCAGAGCAGTTGCAGCTTGACAGGCTCCCGGTACCATCCCAGTTTTTAGAAGTTTTGATATTGACTGTGCCTGACTCTGCGCGATTTATGCGTGTGAACTATAGCCGAACCGAACTGATGAGAATAGGAGCGGATTTGCCACGAAATATAGCAGAAATCAGCAACAAACTCAAAGCTACGCTCGGCAGAATGCAGATCTTAAAGTCATCTACCTGGAAGCTGCAGCAGAGGCGTTCCAGCGGGCAGAAGAGGAAGAGCTGCTCCCGGCTTAAGAGGAGAGGATGCCGGGCGGGGGTTATGGTGAGGCTACGAGCTAACGCTAAAGCCGGTAAACTCCCCATGCCGTCTCTCTTTCTGTCGAATGTCCGTTCGTTGGACAACAAGGTGGATTTACTTCGTCTGAGAGCGGGCGCCTCAGAAGAGATGAAGAAGGGTGCGGTGCTTTGCCTCACGGAAACGTGGATTACAAGCGAAACGCCGGACTCAGTCTTCCAGCTGGATGACAGACTTTTATTTCGAGCGGACCGCTGCAGCGAGCTAACGGGGAAATCACGGGGGGGCGGAGTATGCATTTACGTGAGTAAAAGTTGGTCCACGAACTGTACTGTTGTGAATAGCTCATGCTCGAAGGCTTTGGAGCAAATAACAGTGAAATGTCGGCCACATTATCTACCCCGAGAGTTCACAGTGACTTTTATCACAGTTGTTTACATTCCTCCGGACGCTAATGCTAATGAATCACTGCAGGAGCTTCATGATATCATCAGCTCGCTGCAGAACAAACACCCCGAGGCTCTTTACGTGTTAGCCGGAGACTTTAACCACGTGAATCTAAAGGACTGTCTCCCAAGCTTTTATCAAAATGTGGCCATTCCAACACGTGGAGACCGCACGCTGGACCGTGTTTACACGAACGTAAAAGATGCATACAAAGCCGAACCCCGCCCCCACCTAGGACTGTCAGACCACATCTCAATCTTCCTGGCTCCTGCTTACATGCCCCCGCTGAGACGCTCCAGACCGGTTCAAAAGAAAGTTAAATGTTGGAGCCAGGACAGTGGACCCATACTGAGAGATTGTTTTTGATCGAACAGACTGGCAGGTTTTCAGAGAAGCTGCTGAAAATGGAGGTTCGCTTGATCTTGACCAATACACATCCTCAGTACTGGGTTACATTAGTACATGTACTGACACCGTCTCCACTATCAGAAATGTTAAAAGCTACCCAAACAGAAAACCTTGGCTGAATGCAGAGGTGCGTACCCTGCTGGAAGCCAGGAACACTGCCTTCAGGTCTGGAAACTCAGAGGAGCTGAGTAGGACAAGAAAAGAGCTGGTTGCTGGTATTAAGAGGGCCAAGGCCACATATGCAAAGAGGATCGAGGGTCAATTCATCTCACAAGACCCTCGGAGCATGTGGAGGGGCATTAAGTGCATAACAGATTATAAAGGAAGGAGTGAACAATGCCCCAAAGACCCATCTCTGCCTGATGCCCTCAACAAGTTCTATGCACGCTTTGAAGACCCGAACAGACCACCCAGCACCAGACTCACCTCACCACCGGATGAAGAGCATCTCAGCGTGACCTCAGCAGAAGTAAGGAGTACCTTCAGGAGGATTAATCCGCACAAAGCAACTGGCCCAGACAACATCCCCGGAAAAGTGTTGAAGGAATGTGCTGATCAGCTCTGTGAGGTGCTGGCAGACATCTTTAACACCTCACTTACCCTGGAGACGGTTCCCACCTGCCTGAAGACTGCCACCATCATCCCAGTCCCAAAAAGCTCTACAGTGACTGGTCTGAATGACTATCGGCCAGTGGCCCTCACCCCGATAGTCGCTAAATGCTTCGAAAAACTGGTCATGACTCACATCAAAACAACCATCAACATCAACGAGGACCCTCATCAGTACGCATACCGTGAGAACCGATTAACAGAGGATGCAATCTCCTCTGTGGTCCACACTGCACTCAACCACCTGGAGCAGAAAAACTCTTACGTCCGTATGCTCTTTGTGGACTTCACATCCGCCTTCAACACCATGATCCCCCAAACCCTGATGGACAAACTATCCACACTAGGACTAAGCCCCTCCATCTGCAACTGGGTACTAGACTTTTTAACAAACAGACCACAGTTAGTGAGGATCCACAACCACTCCTCCTCCACCATAACCCTCAGCACTGGCTCTCCTCAGGGATGTGTGTTGAGCCCCCTTCTGTTTATTCTGCTCACATATGATTGTGCAGCTACCCATCCAGGCTGTCACATTGTAAAGTTTGCAGATGATACAGCGGTGGTGGGATGCATCACAAACAATGATGAGTCCAGCTACAGGCAAGAGGTGGAACACCTGGAGAGCTGGTGCAGAGAGAATAACCTTCACATCAATGTGAAGAAGACAAAGGAGATGATTGTGGACTTCAGAAGGAACAAACACACCTACACCCCCCTGAATATAAGAGGATCTGCGGTGGAAGTGGTCTCCAGCTACAAGTACTTGGGTGTACACATGAATGACAACCTCAGCTGGAGCAACAACACCACCAGCCTGATCAAGAAAGCTCATCAGAGACTACTTCCTCAGACGGCTGAGGCGAGCTGGTCTGGGAAGCTCAGTCCTCACTTCCTTCTACAGGTGTGCAGTGGAGAGCATCCTGTGCTCGAGCATCAATGTGTGGCATGGAGGCTGCACAGCTGCAGAAAGAAAAGCTTTGCAGAGAGTGGTGAAGGCTGCACAGAAATCTGTTGGAATCAGTCTCCCCACCATCACAGACATCTACACCTCCAGATGCAGGAAGAGGGCCACCTGCATCATGAAGGACCCCACTCACCCAGCACACACACTTTTTGCCCCACTCCCCTCAGGAAGGAGGTTAAGGAGCATTAAGTGTAGAACCACTAGACTGAGGAACAGCTTCTACCCTGAGGCTGTTAGACTCATGAATCTCTAACTAGAATAATCACTGTGAAAAACCATATCATGTTGCTGCTGATCTGTTTCATGTTGCTGCTGATCTGTTTCAATGTTGATGTGTTCATGCGTGCACATCTGCTCACAGACTCATGTTCATGTTTGTGCTGATGTTCAATGTTTTATGTTATGAGTGCTTAGTGTATATTTAGTTGATGTTTTTCTTAGTTCATATCTTAGATGTTATTACTGTTTTTATTATACATTTTATTGTTGGATGTAACTGGGACCCCGTGTACATAATTTCGCTCCACCACATGTACCACATGAGGTGCGAATGACAATAAAGAAACTCTGACTCTCTGAAATACTACAATAAAAATGTCACTACTTTGCGGGGGGGGGGGGGGGGGGGCTCTGGAACGTAACCCCTGCAATCCTGAAAATGTTCTCTAAAACCAATTTATCAGCTTCTGAAGGAACTACCAAATTCTACAACATTTAAGATGTAAAATATTTGGATTTGTTTTCCTCCAACAGCCGGGATATTAGGTGTGGATTTGTTTTTACCGAATAAAATAATGTGTCCTAAAAATTAATTGCTCCATAACAAGAAATCTCAACTCAGATGCTGGAGTCACGTATCAGGTAGCCTGCTAAGGTCTCACAGGGCAAAAGGTCTCAGATTCTGGCAAAAAGTCTTCATGTGTAGAAGAAACAGCATCTGTCCCACAGTGGGGACCGAAAGTAAGAGGTATGAAGGAATAAATCAAACCTCACACTCAGATGTTCATGAACGTGAAGGAAAAACAAGAGATCAAACACGAACCGGTCCAGTCAGGGAAAACTTACATCGACTTCAGACAATGTCTGTGTCCATTTGTAGTTTGGCAGGTCAGCTCCATTTCCTGAGTTAGGCTTCAGCTTGTCTTTATCCTTCTCATCTTCCTCTCCTTCAGAGTCAGACTGAAACGAAAAAGGAAGAATACCATAGCAGTTTTATTTATAAAGCACTTTAAACAGAACAGAACCAAAGTGCTGTACACATAATAAAACAATCAGACAATAAAAGTGATTAAAATAATTAAAAGTCAACATCTCGGATGGTGTCAAAGGCCAGGGAGAAGAGATGGGTTTTAAGTCAGAGTCGGAGATTATTTCATTCGCACTCGCACCTCATGTGGTACATGTGGTGGAGCGAAATTATGTTCACAGGGTCCCAGTTACATCCAACAATAAAATGTATAAGAAAAACAGTAATAACATCTAAGATATGAACTAAGAAAAACAGTAATAAGATCTAAGATATGAACTAAGAAAAACAAACTGAATATACACTAAGCACTCAAAGCATAAAAACATTGAACATCAGCACAAACATGAACAAGAGTCTGTGTGAGCGGATGTGCATGCATGAACACATCAACATGAAACAGATCAGCAGCAACATGAAACAGATCAGCAGCAACATGATGTGATTTTTCACAGTGATTATTCTGGTTAGAGATTCATGAGTCTAACAGCCTCAGGGTAGAAGCTGTTCCTCAGTCTAGTGGTTCTACACTTAATGCTCCTCAACCTCCTTCCTGAGGGGAGTGTGGAAAAAAGTGTGTGTGCTGGATGAGTGAGGTCTTCATGATGCAGGTAGCCCTCTTCCTGCATCTTGTAGTGTGTCAAGGACAGCTTTGCTGTGGACATACGGTCCCATCAAATGTGTGATTTAAAACACGTACGGTCCCACTAAATGTAGTGAAAGTGGGAGACAGCTTACTGTACCTTCACTACTAATTAATTATTTAAATATAACGGGTTCTTTCTTTTTCGAGTTAAATTAATGCCATGTGATGAGGTAACTGAGGATTGTTTAATCAATGACAAGAGACGTTAATTTTCCTTTGACCCATCAGAATAAATGCGGTCATTTATTTAACAGAATCAAAATTTAACATCAAAACATGTACACTTGATTAGTTGATCTGGTTCTGATTGATAAAACTTGGCACGCTTTACTAATAAGACAACAAGACATTTCTGAAGGCATCTAGATTACTGGCAAAATAGAAGAGTTTAAAGGAAGGAGTTTAGAGGTTTAAAGAAGAAATGGGTGAAGAGAGGTGTATGTTTGGATTGACCAGAATTGGCACGCTTCTTTTAATCACCAGCTCAAACCTCCGGTACACTTAGCGCGTCACGACTCGTTACTTTCACAGGAGATAAATCAGCTCCGGTGTCGGGTCCATTTCTTTTTTTTTTTTTTTTAATAGGATAGAAAGAAAGAAAAGACAAAGTAAGACTCCAAAATATAAGAAATATATACAAATAGAGCACACGTCAAAACACCCGGCGACTGTCAGTTCACCTGCAAAGAACATGACAAAACACAGCAACAAAATACATATGTATAAAGAACTTAAAATATTCATGGCTTTGCAGTAAGTTTCCATAAATATATATACCCATACCTACGCCTATATACATACATACATACATACACATGAATATACACTCACATACATATCTATATATCTACATATAAAGCCTACATAAGCATCCCTGCTTCTATTTGTGTGTGGTTGTGAGCATGCATAAGTGTATAAGGCTTCTCTAATGGAACATTTATTAGTAACTGTGAAGCAGCAAAGACCCGACCCCCAAGACCAGAGGCAGACGAAAAAGGGGGGACCAGAGCCCAAGACCCCAGGAGGGACCCCGACCGCAGAGCCCCCAGAGCCACCCACACAGGACGAACCACTCACCCACCCTCCAGAACGGACCACAGGGGAGAACCGGAAGATCCCCACCAGCAACCACATACAGTGACCCCCCGGGGCCAACAGCGACAAACTCATAGGCCTCCGTCGGCACCCGCCGCACCGATGTAGGTCCAGGTCCAGGCACCGAGGACTCACACCACCCAGGCCAAGGCCTGACAGGTGTCGGGTCCATTTCAACGCTACCTTCCAGCGTCTCCGGTTAGAGCGGCTGGTCATCGTCAGAAGTAGTGTCGATTTACTCTCTTCACCAAACAGGCTCAGCTCCCTTCGAAGTTGGAGGCATTACACCCGGGTGGATTCACAGCAAGTCGCTTTGACTCTGTCAGAGATCCCACTCAGGAGTGGAAGACTCATGAAGGCTTGAGAAGACTCCATCAAAGACTGAGTTCAACTCAGATCCAAGACTTCAGAAGAACTCAGAAGAACTTGAGAAGACGGAGAAGACTCCGTACACTGAGTAGACCGAGGAAGTGTCGTCTTTTAAAAGAGTCCTCACTTCCGGTCACTTAGGACTTCCTGATTGGTTGAAACAACCAACAGGGGGTGGTTCTAGTGATGTCAGAGGGTTATTAAAAGTCAACCGAGAGATCAGGAATGGTTAGGAACGTTTAGTACAGACAAAGAAATGTTATGGCGAAGTGAGAGGAACGCAGATGCCAGTGTTTCTCTTTTCACCGTCTGCTAGGTTTAAAAACAATACAGCCCGTTCTAATAACTTCTTTTCTGACTGTCTCTGACTTTCGACCGACATCACTACTTCTCCTTTAGACAGAAAATCAAAATGCATAATTACTTTGTAAATAGACATTTAACTTGATTTTTAATTTAAATGAGGTTTTAAAAAAATCAATATTGTTTCACAGTTGATTTAAAATGAGTAGTTCACTTCAACATTAGAAATGATATGAACTAAACACACTTTTATTATCAAGATATTGTAAAATAGTAATGATAATATAAAAATAAGTGTTCTTTCAATTGATTACTTCAGGATACAATTAGACAGTCTCTGGATGAGCTAATATGTATTTCTGGATGCACATCAATGAAATAACAGTTCCTGTCCCATGAAGGTCTTCAGAGACAGGTTTTGGTTGGAGGCCTAGTTCACTACAATCTAGAGGTGTAGATGTCTGTGATGGTGGGGAGGGTGACTCCGACAGACTTCTGTGCCGCCTTCACCACTCTCTGCAAAGCTTTTCTTTCTGCAGCTGTGCAGCCTCCATGCCACACGTTGATGCTGGAGCACAGGATGCTCTTCACTGCACACCTGTAGAAGGTGAGGACTGAGCTTCCCAGACCAGCTCGTCTCAGTCTCTGATGAGCTTTCTTGATCAGGCTAGTGGTGTTGTTGCTCCAGCTGAGGTTGTCATTCATGTGTACACCCACGTACTTGTAGCTAGAGACCACTTCCATCGCAGATCCTCTTATGTTCAGAGGGGTGTAGATGGTTTTGTTCCTTCTGAAGTCCACAATCATCTCTTTTGTCTTCTTCACATTGATGTGAAGGTTATTCTCTTTGCACCAGCTCTCCAGGTGTTCCACCTCTTGCCTATAGCTGGACTCATCATTGTTTGTGATGCATCCCACAACCGCTGTATCATCTGCAAACTTCACAATGTGACAGCCTGGATGGGTAGCTGCACAATCATACGTGAGCAGAGTAAACAGAAGGAGGCTCAACACACATCCCTGAGGAGAGCCAGTGCTGAGGGTTATGGTGGAGGAGAAGTTGTAGATCCTCACTAACTGTGGTCTGTTAAGAAGTCTAGTACACAGTTGCAAATGGAGGGGCTTAGTGTGGATAGTGTGTCCATCAGGTATCCTGATGCATGCTCAATAATCCAGGTAGAAAAATCTAAAAAAGTTAAATCTGGTCCTCTGGACATTCAAAATTTTTAATGTCCAGAGGACCAGATTTAACATTTTTAGAGTTTGTCCATCAGGGTTTGGGGGATCATGGTGTTGAAGGCGGATGTCAAGTCCACAAAAAGCATACGGACGTAAGAGTTTTTCTGCTCCAGGTGGTTGAGCGCAGTGTGGACCACAGAGGAAATGGCATCCTCTGTTGATCGGTTCACACGGTATGCATACTGATGAGGGTCCTCGTTGATGTTGATGGCTGTTTTGATGCGAGTCATGACCAGTTTTTCAAAGCATTTAGCGATTATCGGGGTGAGGGCCACAGGCTGATAGTCATTCAGACCAGTCACTGTAGAGCTTTTTGGGACTGGGATGATGGTGGCTGTCTTCAGGCAGGTGGGAACTGTCTTCAGGGCAAGTGATGTGTTAAAGATGTCTGCCAGCACCTCGCAGAGCTGATCGGCACATTCCTTTAACACTTTTCCGGGGATGTTGTCTGGGCCAGTTGCTTTGTGCAGATTAATCCTCCTGAAAGTACTCCTTACTTCGGCTGAGGTCACACTGAGATGCTATTCATCCAGTGGTGAGGTGACTCTGGTGCTGGGTGGTCTGTTCGGGTCTTCAAAGCGTGCATAGAACTTGTTGAGGGCATCAGGCAGAGATGGGTCTTTGGAGCATTGTTCACTTCTTCCTTTATAATCTGTTATGCACTTAATGCCCCTCCACATGCTCCGAGGGTCTTGTGAGATGAACTGACCCTCAATCCTCTGTGCATATGTGCCCTTGGCCTTCTTAATACCAGCAACCAACTCTTTTCTTGTCCTACTCAGCTCCTCTGAATTTCCAGACCTGAAGGCAGTGTTCCTGCCTTCCAGCCATGGATTAAGAAGGGATTTAAAAACAGACAAGGAGGATGCCTGTCTGATGTTCATTGAAGGTCATTCCACAGGTTAAGAGCTGCCACTGTAAAAGCACGGTCTCCTCCGAGCTTACGCTTTGTCTTCAGCACACTCAGGAGCAGCTGATCACATGACCTGAGGGATCGAGAGGGTGTGTATAAATGTAACAACTCGGACAGATAGGGCAGGTCAAGTCCATTAAGGAGCTTTAAGAGCAAATTAAAGCTGCAAGCAGCACTGAAGGCCCTCGCAGCAAAGCGCCGCTCCGGCTATACTGCGAATGCGGGAGCTCAAGCCACTCCACTCAGTCGCCATTGCGAACGCTCTCGTGCTTTTCCCGCACGCGTTCACCACGAGGCGCATTTCCTGAATCTTTGACATCGCCTTCCGTCCATGTCAGTACTAGTCCAGCTCCAGGTCTTACAAGTAT